GCTCTGTGCTGGCCCACGTCCACACCGCTTCCTGAAGCAGACCTCTGTGCCTCGCACATCCTGCTTCTATACCTCTTGACTAAGAACTGATTTATTTTAATTCGGAGCTCTGAAGTCTCCTGCTCAGTAAACAATCAGCCAGGTGGTTTTTTTTTTTTTTTTTTTTTTTTTTTTTTTTTTTTAAGGCTGATTGTGTACCTAAACTGTGACCACTCAAAAGGCAGGGAGTCTCCTGAATGCCCACATACTCGTTTCTTTCTTTCTTCTGCCTCTGTTTTCTTTCTTTTTTCAGTTTTTGTGGGGTTGCCCCTTCTTACCCTGTCAGTGTGTTTGGGGAAGGAAGCCTGGATTGTTGTTATCGGGGATTCAGTGTGAAAACAGCTGGCTCCTCATTAACACTGAATAATTGGGGGGTGGGGGCCGTCCCCAGTCCTCAGGACGGAATCTCAACTGCCCAACGTTGCTTTGTAAGACGGTATCTAAATGAACTGCCACCAGCAGAATCATGAAAAGGAATTATAAGAGACAGAAGATGAAAGCAACTCCTTCAGAAACAGGCATTGAAATGCTTATTTACTTCACAGAAAAGCCAACTACAAAGTGACCGGTGGAAAGATATTCTAGAAGGCTAGGCACTATAATGACTGTCAGCCCTTCCAGGGAATTAATTAGCTTGTCTATTCATTTAGTGGTTTTGGTTTCTCTGTGTTGCTCTGGCTGTCCTGGAACTCAATCTGCAGTCCTCAAACTCAGAGATCCGCCTGCCTCTGCCTCCCAAATGCTGGGATTAAAGGCCTGTGCATCACCACTGCCTGGCCACACCCAGTATCTTTAATACTTTTTCAAAAAAAGCGTTTTGAGGGCTCAGCAGTTGCGAGCTCATACTGCTCTCCCAGAGGAACCTAGTCCAGTTCCCAGCACCCCAGTAAGATGGTTCACAACTGCCTAGAACGCCAGCTCCGGAAGATCCGATGGCTCTGGTCTCTGTGGGCACAAATTTACTACGTGTGTGTGTGTGTGTGTGTGTGTGTGTGTGTGTATGTGTAGGCTTGCTGAGGTCAGAGAAGATGGATCTCTCTCTTTCTCTACTTTTAGCCTGGTTTTAGGAACTGAACTCCTCATCAGGTTTCTGTGGCAAATGCCTTTCCCTATGAAGGCATGCCATTGCTCTATGACAGCCAGCATTCTTACAGAGGGACAACACCAGGGTGTTGATTTAGGAAGACAGGTTGCTTGACTGTGCTTGCTTGTTCTTGAAGGAAAAATCTAAGATCGAGATGAACTTTTCTTTTTAAGTTATTGTTTTATTTTATGTGTTGGTGCTTTGCCTACATGTATGTCTGTGTACCACGGACTTCCCTGGTGCCCATGACAGGCAGAGAAGGGCATCAGATTCTCCTGGAACTGGAGTCACAGGAGGTTGTGAGCTGCTGTGTGGGTGCAGGGAATTGAACCTGGTTCCTCTGGAAGAATAGCCAGTGCTCTTCACCTCTGAGCCATCTCTCCAGCCCTTTCTCTTATTTCTAAAGAGGTCTTTATCCTATTGCTTCCTTTGTTTGTTTGTGTTTGTTCTGTTTTTCAAGACAGGGTTCCTCTGTGTAGCCCTGGCTGTCCTGGGAGTAGCTCTGTAGACTACCCTGACCTCAAACTCATAGAAATCCACCCGCTTCTGCCCCTGAATGCTGGGGTTAAAGACGTGTGTGTCCACACCATGCAGTTAATATTGGTTAAAAAAAAATGTCATTGCATTTATTTAGTATTTGTGGGGCCCATGCTCGTGTGACCCGTCGTCCACACGTGGAAGTTGGAGGCAGCTGTCCTTCTGCATCGTGTCAGCAGGCTAGGTGACACTGTGCGCCGGCCCATCTTGCCAGCCCTGCTTTCTTACGGCTTTGGTCTCTATAGCTATTCTCTGTGGTCATTCCTATATACTAGCAGAGCGAGGAGAGCAGCCTCCTTGCAGGCGCCGCTCTGATAAACAGCACACCCAGGACAACCGCCAATGCTGACATTATCCAGCCTCTCGTTCACAATTAATAGATCCAAGTTCCGGGGAACAGTCTGGAGTTCACATAGCAAAATTCTATAAAATGTAGATTTTTTTTTTCCCCATGAAGTCCCTCTTTAGATTTAGATACATAGCACCCTCATCAAAGTCCTCCACCGCGATTATATTTGGTGCAGCTAGCACCTCCGTATTACCAGACGATGGTGTTCCTTAGGTCTTACTTGCTCTGTTCTTTTGCTTCCCACCTGTGGTGGTTTGAATAGACTCACGTGTTTGAGTGGTTGACTCATAGGAAGCGGCACTAGTAGGAGGGGTGGCCTTGCTGGAGGAGGTGTCACTGTGGGGGCGGTTTTGAGGTCTCCTATGCTCAAGCTACACTCACTGAGACACACAGTCTCCCTCTGCTGCCTGCAAACCAAGATGTAGGGCTCCCAGCTCTTTCCCCAGCACCGAGATCTGGTCACTGCCCATTGGATCTTCTGAAACTGGAGATATGGAGAATTGGGAGCTACCATGCAGGCACTAGCAACTGAACCTGGGTTCTCTGCAAGAGCAGCAAGTACCCTTAACCACAGAGCCATCTTTTATCTGTTTTTTGGGAGGCTGAGGGTCTCACTACATAACCTTGGCTGGCTTAGAACTCCCTATGTGTAGACCAGGCTGGCCTCCAACTCACACAGATCCACCTGTCTCTCCCTCCTGAATGCTGGAATTAAAGGTGTGTAGCCTCATGATATAGGCTCCCCAAAACTTGTCTACACTGGCCTCATAGAGACCACCTACGCCCTTAACTCACCATCTACATGAATCAGACCGCCGGGTAGCTGGGATTACTCTTGGCCTGTGCCAGTTGGCCTAGCTTAACTTTAGGAGATGATTTCATAGAGCTGTCCAAGTCAGTGGTGTTTTTCTCTCAACACCTTAAACTCTCCATTCCATCTCTTGTCTGGTACTCTTTGCACTTACCGGATCTGTAGCCTGACGTCTGACATTACTATGGGACGATTTCTTGGCGGTTATTGCCTCAAATGCCATTTCTGTCCTCCTTTCCCCGTCCCCTTCTCTGGCGTTTTCTGCCTAAGTATACTTTGCTTTGTTCTTGTGTCAGATAGTCAGATAGTCTAGTCTGCGTTTCCAGCCTGTCTGCCTCTTTCCTTCACTTGGATGTTTTCCCCAATCTCTTCACACCATGTCTTTCACCATTTGGGTGCCTTACCTTGTCCTGACATGGTAATGATGTACAGTCTGAGGGGAACCACAGTCACGGGGCCCTGAGTCAGTCTTGAAAAGGTGTGTGGCGAAGAGGCTTGTTCCAATAGCCAGTGTTGTCTTACCCCCTTGGTGCCCTGTCCCCTGGACTGTGACTTCATGGGAATTCCTCAAGTTATTTCTCTCTCTTATTTGGGATAAGATGGGTAAGGGGGTGAGGTGGGGTGTGGGAGGCTGGGCTATCCTTTCCCCCATGCATGAAGCTGAGGGGGGCAGAGACTCTCCCTTCCCCAGAAGGATGGATCTCCAGCACAGAGAAGCCACAAGACATGGTTTCTGCTGAGTGCAGGCCTAGTTTCAAAATGGTTCCCTTCCCTTTCCTCTTCCTGCTGCCAACACTGTCCCTCAGCGTTCAGTGTGCAGACCCAGGAGACTTCCTGGAGGTAAAATTTACAAAGAAATGGTGGTGTCCTAAGTTCCGCCTGGACAGTTTTCTCTGAGGTGCCTGGAATTTGGTGACAGTTCCGGTTTTCCCCTCCCCAGAACTGGTTTCTGCTTGTGGCCTTGCCTTCCCTCCCATAGTTGTGATTGTCTGTGTCTGGTTTTTGTCTTCTGTTTCTCTAATTTGGACTGTGTGTGTGTATGTAGGTGGAGCAGGGGTCCGGTCACATTTTTCCACATTTTTTTTTTGCTCCATTAGTAGATTTAGGACATGCTTTTTTGGCTTGTTCAGATTTTTATTTATTAGAAAGGCACAGTGGTGACTTCTCAGCTCCTGAAATGCAGGGAATCCTGGGAAACTGACTGTTAGAAGCACACAAGTATGAAGGGTTATGGTCAAGGCCCCTCAGCTCAGGCGGGGGGGGGGGAGTGGATACAAGCAGTGGGGGAAGGGCATATGGCTATACTCCCAGAGCTGGAGTTTCAGGCAATGGTGAGCCAAAGGTTGTGGGTTCTGGGAACCCAAACTGGTCCCGTGTGTTGTTCAGTCTCAGCTCCGTGGCAACAGGACAGATGAGGCCATAGCATCACAGAAACTCGTTTAAAAAAATTATAACATACTGACATCCAGCAATGGAACTCTGTGATATTATGAAATTCTAAATTTCCCACTTCCGAATACTGAGATTATACACTGTTTGCTTTACAATCAGTGTAAAGAAGGGCCCCATGTACTAAAAGCAAACAAACAAACAAACAAAAACCTTTTTTACATTTATTTATTGTGCATGCACGTGTTCGGTGTGTGTGTGTGTGTGTGTGTGTGTGTGTGTGTGCGCGCACCTGTACTCCCAAGCACCCAGACACATACACAATTAAAAAAAAATAAAAAAACAGAGTGGCTGGGAATGGTGCATAGCTTTAGGCCCAGCACTCAGGAGGCAGCGGCAAGCTGGTCTTTGTGAGTTTGAGGCCAGCTTCGTTTACAGCCCAGGTCAGCCAGCACTACGTAGTGCAACTTTGTCTTCACAACAGCAGCAAAATGACACTACTAATAAAAGTAGCATAAACAACGGCTGGAAAGTTTTGTGGAGAGGGCCCTTTGGCAGTTCCACATTCCCAATCAGCGTTTGTGGGAAAGCACACGCTTCAGCTACTGCGGCAACCAAAGCTCAAACGCGCGTGCTGTCCAGGGTGCCAGCCTGGACACCGGGTGCTGACTGGCACTTTCTAAGCACCCCCAACCTCAGTGCAAGGATCAGAGAGGGCTTGCAGGCTCATCATGGGGAGGGAGCTCCCCCACCCCCAGCATCCAGCGGAAGCGCAGACGCCATGGACTCACCACTTCTCCTCTTCCACCTGCACGCCCACCGACTGGAACTTGCTGCACGCCTTGTTCTCCACTGTTTTCTCAGGCTCTTCGGCATCGTCCACCTGAAGAAACCACCAAGCAAACAGAGTTGGTCCTCTTCCGCGCCTCAGACAGACGCACTTTCACCTCGGGCCTCTGGGAGGTGACAGGAGCGGTCTGCGAGTTCTAACCCCCCTGGTCCATATTTGTGCACTGTTTGCGTGCTCTCTGATTCTACTAACCTTCCCTGGGAACATTTTTTTTTTTTAATGTGTACGTGTGTGCACTAGAGTGTGTGTATGTTACCAAGTATGTGCAAGGGCCTGAGGAGGCCAGAAGAGGGTAACTGGTCCCCTGAAACTGTTGTCACAGGCAGTTGTGAGCCACTGAGTTGGTGCTAGAACTGAACCCACCCGAGTCCGCTGCAAGAGCAGCAGGCGCTCTTCACCACTGAGCCATCTTGCCAGCCCCGACTCTGCTGCATTTTAACAAAATACAGTTCTTATCTACTTCCAAAGCCGGAAGCATTCTGTGTATACCAGACACATGAATATCGAGGGGTAACTGTGTATGATTTCCTGTGAGCACCCTATTAGGAGGGAGTGTCACAGACAAGCGTGTTCCTGGAGGTTCTAAATTACCAGGGAAAACACTGAAAGGGCAATGGAGATGTAGCTCTCCGTTGGCTGGTTGCTTGCCGAGCAGGCGTGTAGCCCTGGACCGGTTCCTCAGCACCACATAAACCCAGTGTGGTGTTGCACGCCTGTAATCCACACCCGTAATCCCAGGATTTGGGATTTGGAGGTGGGAGGACCAGGAGTCTAATTTTATACAGCGAGTTGGAAGGCATTCTAGGCTACATGACAGCTTGTCTCACCCACACCCAACACACGCTACAGGAAAAAAAGATGGGCCGGACCGGGCAGCGGAGCGCACATCTCTGAGCCCAGCACTCAGGAGCAGAGGCGGGCAGGTCTCTGTGGGTTTGAGGCCAGCCTGGTGTACAGACTGAGTTCCAGAGCAGGCAGGGGCACACAGAGAAGCCAACTCTGTCTTAAAAAAAGGAAGAAAGAAAAAGAAAAAAGAGAAAAGGAGGACTGTCGAGGTGGCCCAACAGGTAAAAGCTCCTGCGACCTGACAACTGGAGTTCAATCCCCAGGACCCGAGTGCCAGAAAGAGAGAAACAGCTCTCACAGTCTGTCATCTGACTTGCACGAGCAGGCCACGACCGAAGTAAGCCTGCCACACACATGCACACAATAAATAAATTAGCGGTCCTGAAAATGTAGTAAAATGCAGCAAAGCAAAAAATCTAAAGCGGCCGCGTGTGGTGCCGCACACCTTTGATCCCAGCACTCAGGGAAGCAGAGGCAGACGGATTCCTGTGAGTTCAGGCCCAGCCTGCTCTACAGAGTGAGTCCAGGATAGCCAAGGCTACAAAGAAAAACCCTGTCTTGAAAAACCAAAAACAACAACAACAACAAACCCAAGCAAGCAAGCAAACAAACAAACAAATTAAAGCAAAGTATAGAATATTGTAAGGTGCATGCCAACAACAGGGCCCCCCCAAAAAAAAGAGAGAGAGAGAGAGAGAGAAATAAGTAAAACATATTTGCTAGAATATTGAGTATATTGATTCCCCCCCCCCCAAAAAAAAAGAACTGATTGGCTGTTGATCATCACTGGTGAGGAGTCTTGTTGTTACATATATTATTTAAATAAGTTTTGGGGACTAGAGAAAGGGCTCTGAGGTTAGGAGGACTTTCTCTTGCAGAGCATCCGCATGCTCACAACTGCCCGTCACTCCAGTTCCAAATGCCCTCCTTCTTACCTCTGCAGGCTCCTACACGCACACGGTACCCAGACACGCACTCAGGCGCAGCCACATAGACATACACACACACACAAGTAAACAAAATCTAAGCAGTGTTTTAAGTTTGGGGTGATAAAGACGCGTCACCTATCGAAGAAGTCTGAAGAAGGAACGGACTGAAAACCGAGGAAATGAAAGCACGCCAGCATTCCAGGGCCATCATTTAGTGCCACACAGAAAGGCAGGCGTTCGTTGTAACCACCGCCGTGAGGTGTGTGTAACCACGGTGACCTGCAGGGTGGAGCGGCAGTGAGCGCCTTCACGTAGCTGTGCCGCCACCACAAACGGCCACTGCACAAATGCCCGGCATCCCAAACAGAGACCTGTGTCCACCAGACAGCCGCCCTCACAGGAACATGGACTGTGTGTGTCTGTGGTGTGGGCTGGGGCCGGGTGCCTGCCACGTGTTCGCCTGGCGCTGGGAGGATAGCTTGCAGGAGCTGGTTGTCTCCTTCTGCCCTGGGTGCTGGACTTAGACTCAGCAGATCAGGCCTAGATCGGGAGCCTTCGCCCCCCACCCCCAGATAGCCATCTCCCAGGCCCGGAAGTTAGAGGTCTGAAGAAGCCATTCTTGGGTGAGCAAGACCCCTGCAAGTTCTTTTCTGGCCTGCACGTCTGTGCTCAGCATACATATTCCTCCACTCCTCTTGTCCACGCACGAAAAATGAAAAATGAAAAATCTCCATTCTCTCCTAGTGCTGGTAATGTAACCTCACCGTTTGCTCCACAAGCACAGGAGGATCCGACCCTTTGGTTGTGGGAGGGAACAGGGAGAGGTGGGCAGGGGCTCACACTAAATCTTGATTCCTCTTCGGTCATCTACTCCCAGGCTTCAGTGCGGCCCGCCCTTTGGGAGACCTGACCACTCGCATCTGGGGGCTACCAGAGGGCATCTGACTTCTCCGCGAGGGAAAGACTCATCATCCTGGCTTTCAGATGTGCCAAGAGTGGGTTCAGTGTGACCAGGGCTCACTGCCGTGTCAAGAAATGACCTTCCAACAGGCACCGGCAGAAGGCACCACAGACACAGAGGCATTTTCTCTGACAGGAGGAAATTTGCGTGAGGTCACCCCGATGGGTGTTCAAAAACAAAGTGGCTCAGTGGGGAACGGTACCTGCCGCCAAGCCTGATGACCTGACTTTCATACCCAGGACCCGCAAGGTTGAAGGAGAGAATCAAGTGATGAAAGCTGCCCTCTGACCTCTGTGTGTGTGTGTGTGTGTGTGTTGTTGCAAATGTGAGTGTGTGCTGTTGCAAGTGTGCATATGTGTGGAGTGTGTGTACACACACACACACACACACACACATACACACAATTAAAAAACCAAAGCAAGATGCCAAGGCAGGTCGATACCCAGGGGAGGTCTCCCCTTCTCCAAGAGGGGCACAAGGGGACGGGAGGAAAGGGAAAAGGGAGGGACTGAGAGGAAAGGAGGTAGTGGAACTTCCTTCTGGAATGTAAAGTAAATAAGTTAATTAATTAATGAAAAAAACAAAACAAACAAACAAAAGCAAAGCAGATTGGCTAGGTGTTATTTTAGGAAACTTCTGACATAATAAACGATGTCCCTGTGTGGAATAGGCTCCGGAGAAAGGAAGGAGGGCAGCCATCTGCGAAGAGCTGGCTACTGTAGTTTCATGAAACGCATGATTAAAGAGCCAACAGTGACCCCAAGACTGATCACATTCCTTCCTCGTGATGCTGGGGTCCGTCCTTGCTTCCCCCAAAGCCGTCCCTTTGCCCTTGGCCGCCCACGTCTGTGAACTGTGAGTTACAGTTTGTTCCCACGTGATACTTCAATAGGAATAGGATCGGGCATAAGGCCACCTGGTGATGACTGCAGCTCCTTTATAGACTTTTGTATCGTGTGTGTGTGTGTGTGTGTGTGTGTGTGTGTAGGTGAGTATTGTGTGTTTGAGTGTGTGTGTGTGAAGGTGAGTATTGTTGAGTGTGAGCGAGTATGAGTATTGTGTGTGTGTGAGTGTATGTGTATGAGTGTGTGTGTATGAAGGTGAGTATTGTTGAGTATGAGTGAGTGTGGGTATGAGTGTGTCTGTGAGTGTGGGCATGTGTGTGGAGGTGACATGACCTGTTTCAGGTGGGGGGGGTCTCCTTCTACCTCCTGGATTTGTAGCTTGATCGCACATTGCCAGCCTTGGCAGAAAGTACTTCTTCCCACTGAGCTACCTCCGCACTCTTTGGCATGGAAGACACCAAGAAAATAATGCCTTCTAGTCACAGCACACACCGAACTCCCTAGCAGCGTGCACAGGCCTGCGTGTGTCTGGGGCAGATGGCACCAGTGCTGAGGGGAGACGTGGGCCCAAGCCCCGCCCTAACCCAGAAGCCATCTCCAATGCACCATGCCTGCAAAGGAGAAATCTGTTTTCCAATGGAGTCTCTCTGGCTGTACAAGCCACACTCAATGGCAGGCCCCTGCCCGGCCCCCTGCCTGAGTGTTTTTTGTTGTTTTTTTTTTTTTTTCTTATCTTACAGATCTTTTACCTATATATTATATCTTCTGATTTTGTGTTTTGTATGGGAGCTTGGTATGTGCAAATGCATGTCTGCCTCTGTGTGTGTTTCTTTCTTCTTAAATATAATTTACTTAATTTTATTTTATGTGCATCAGTGTGAAGGTGTCAGATCCCTTGGAACTGGAGTTACAGACAGTTGTGAGCTGCCATGTGGGTGCTGGGAATTGAACCTTGGTCCTTTGAAAGAGCAGACACTCTTAACCACTGACTGAGTCATCTCTCCAGCCCCTCTGTGTGTTTCTTAGGCTTTTTCTTTAGCTCTTTTTTTTTTTAAATTTCCTTTTTGTTTGTTTTGTCCTATTCTGCTCTGTTTGCTTCTACTTTATTTATTTTATTTTTATGTGCCTATTTTCTAATGAGAGAGAGAGAGTGTGTGAGTGAGCGTGTGTGTGTGTGTGTGTGTGTGTGTGTGTGTGTGTATGTATTTGGGTGGGGAGGTGGGAAGGTATCTGGAAGAAGCTGGACAGTGGGAAACCATGATTAGAATACAACCTATGAAAAAACATTTTTTAATAAAATATGAGTTAGAGTCTGCCAGCCTGTATGTGCCAGGTGAGTGACTGAGAAGGCCAGAAGAGAGCACTGGATCCTCGTGAACTGGAGTTATAGATGGTTGTGAGTTACCAGCGGGGTGTGGAGAACAAACGCAGGTCTTCTGCAAGAACAGCAAGTGTGCTTAGCCACGATACAGCTCCTCGACTCTTTGAGACTCAACCTACCCCTGAGAGACTTGAGTGCATTTTGAGTTAGCATGCAAAGGAATCGCAGCTGCAATTGTTTGTTTTATTTTTATTTTTATTTTTTAGTATTTTGACTTGTTTTAAGAAAGGCATCTGCAGCTGAAACTGTCCTAAGATGGCCTCAAACTTGCAACCGTCCTTTGTATATTTGTGTGTGTTGAGGCAGAATAACAGGCTGGCTTTGAACTCACCAAGCTTTGCCTGCTTCTGTCTCCCGGTGCTGGGCTTAAAAGTCTGTGTCACCACGACTGGTGACACCACAGTGTTCAACCCTGCTCCGCCCCCTGTCCCACACCTTCCCTTTAGCCACTAAGAGCTTCAGATAAAGCATCTCTGTGATTTTGGTCACGTGGAGCAAGGTCAAGAAAAGAGCCAGCACCACTAACGTGAAAATCTCATCCTACACACGGCTCTCTCATTCCCCGCGGCAAAGTGGCGACGTGGGGAAGAAACAGGGAGAGGCGTTTCTTGCCAGCGTCGGGGTGGCATTTCAAGGGCACGGGGAGCGGTTACCTGGATCCCGATAGAGAGGCATCGGTTCTTCTTGAAGTCTTTCTTCCTGTCCTCGGTGGTGACAGTGGCTATGGTCGTGGTGGTGGTGACAGCCGCGGCATTATTGCCCATGTGCTGACTCGCGGGGCCGTGGATCTGGGCGTTGGCCGCCTCGATGGCAGCCGTGAGGGCCTTCATACTGTCCAGACTTTCGGTGGAGTTGCTGAGGCCAGACTGGCTGATCATGTCTCCGCGCTGGCCCTGTCCGTCCATGTATGCGTCCTGCGCAGACTCAGTGCTACTCTGGGCTGTGATAGAAATGAAAGGTTTCGTGGTGGTTCTGGGTGGGACTGGAGGTGGCGTCTTCTTATATGTGGTAATGCAAGATGACACTGGAAGACAGCGAGAACAAAGACGCTGTGATTTCCGCGCGGGGGGCTTTTTAAGCTTCTGATAGTGTCAGTGACAGCCGCTGGGAGCCAGGGCCCACGGAACACTCACCCTCACACATGGAACGCGGAGTCCATGAGTGAGGTCGGGGGTGGGGGGAGGAGTCACACGCGCCCACAGAAGCGAGCAGGAGAGACTGGAATCACCCACCTCTGAAATGGAGGCTCTAAAGCATCATGACCCACGGGATGGGTCGGCTGCCTGCAGAAACTGGCTCAGGAAGCAAGGGAGAAGGCGAGAGGAGGCCCTGCCTTCCGGGGTGGGGGTCGGGGCACAGTAAATACAGCCGGCGCCAAAGGACGAATTTGGTGGCTGACGGTGAAAAGAGAGGTTTGGAGCATGTGCGCTCTGATCCTAGTACTCGTGACACGCTTGGGCCAGGACAGCCACCTTAGCTTTCCCGGATTATTCACGTCCAGGCTAGGCTCCTCCCGGCCTCTCTGTACCTCCCTTTCATCCGCTGTGCCTTCCATGTTTTCCTACCCACCTGCCTTCCGTTCCCTGGCCCTCCCACCCTTGTTTTCCTTTTAGTGTAGGTGCTCACTGTATCCAGTTTTGTTCAGAAGCTTTGCCAGGTGTAACTGCTCACTGAAAGGATGACCCCACCCTCTCCACATACACACATCCACACACACAAACTATACACTCCTTTACATCTCAGAGCATTTGTCTGGTCCCTATCATACCATCCTTGAAGAGCCACCCTAAGCCTTCTGTTGGGGAGCTCTCACCAAGCCAAGCGTCTAAATGCGGTCACCCGAGGCCGACATTTGTCTGGGTTCTCTCGGAGGCTCCGGCCCCTCTCCAACCATCCGGCCACAGTTCTGGGCATCCTGGAGAGCAGTGCCTGCCTCTCAGCTCAGGAGTGCCATTCAGAAAAAGGAAGATAAAGAACCATTTCCAAGCAGGACCTTCTGCCGGGGAAGCACTGGCCCTGTGTGGGCTCTGATCTCTGTTCCCACCACTTCTCCATCCTCTTCCTGCCCCATGTGTGCATGCGCATACACTCGGCTGGCACCTCAGTGGTTACAGCAAACCCACGAGACTCCACCATCTCGCCTTGGGTCCTACCTGCCTCTTGGACCGCCTCACTCTGTAAACTACACGCTCCTGTATTGACCAGGCTTCTCTAAGGCCACTAAAAAAGTCGTATGGTGACTCCTAAACAAGAGGGTCCTTCCCCTCCTGCGGCCCTGCTCTCCGCTGCTCTGTGATTTGGGATGATTTCCTTAACCATGAACAAAAGAGTAACAGCAACGCTGGCATTGTTCTTGCTAGGGATTGTCTGAGAACCAAAGGAAGGGATCCTGCACTGTCTCGTCACACCACCGCTCCGGCAGGAGGGCAGTGCGAGCTCACACTGTAATGAGGTCGCCAAGGTTACGTAGTCCAGTGATCAGCAAATACTACCTATGCAACCTCCCACATGTGATTCTCGCCGGATCCCCTTAAAACCTCAACAGCGAGTAGTAAGCAATTCCATTCAACTTCCGTTTCCATTTTGTTTTGTTTTACTACTGCTTCTGAGAAATAAGTCCACTAGCAGAAGATTCCACTGGAAGAAGTCCCTTGTGCCTTCAGGGGCAGGGGGAGCTCCTACTCAGACTCAGGCTCAGGCTCAATCCACTGGCTCGAAGCCTCCCATTAGGTCATGGAGGGGAATATTAATTCAGAGCCTGGCTGCCCTGGCAAGAGGTCACATCCAAAGACCTGGGTCTGTGTGATCTGGGTGGAACACAGACATGCCTTTAATTCAGGAGACAGAGGCCTGCAGATCTGAGTTCAAGATCAGCCTGGTACAGAGCAAGTTTCAGGTAAAGAAAAGCTTAGGTCCAGGTGTGGTGGTACATGTTTTTATTCCCAAACTATGGAGATAAAGATAGTTTGTAGAAGGAAGCACCCGTGTTTGAAAGTGATGTCTAATTGAGTGGCAGAAACAGTGACAAATCAAAGGAAGATTTGACAGAATAGGATATGCCCAACTTTCAGGAGAAGAGAGAGGAAAGGGAAGCTACTTAAGGGTCAATGCAGAGAGAGAGAGAAAGAGAGAGGGAGGGAGAGAGAGAGAAGAGGAGACAGTTTTTACCGGGACAGTAATAGAGAGGCAGATTGCAGAGAAAGAGAGAGAGAGAGAACTCAAGTGAAGACAGAATGAGCCAAAGAATGAGAAGGAGCCAGAGGATTAGAGCAGACTGCTAGAGTTAGTTTGAGGCCAAGCAGAGCGATTCAGAGGCAGAGAGAAAGGCCAGATTGAATAAGTCAGCTAGGAGAGGAGTTTGAGCCAGAACAGCTGAGTTGGACCAGCCAGCCCAGAGCTCAGAAAGAACTAGAAAGGGTGATCTTATTAAAGCAGTAAGTCTCAGAGGCTGAAAACATTCTAGGTCTAGGTTAGATTGTACAGAGGCTGGAGGCTTCCAGGACTAGGCCTAGGTTAGCAGAAGGAGACAGTAAGCCTCAGAGACAACTGAAACAGGCGAATAAAAGTTCCTTTTACATGTAAACCTGGAGGGGACTGATGAGCTGTCCCAGCCTAGGTGTTTGATGTACTTGTAACCTTGCTGCTTTCTGCCTCTTGGAGGTAAATGTGCCAGCTGAGTTTGTGATGCCACTGTCTCCGTCATCCACCTTGAACCCAGAGAGTCAGTCATCTTGACGCCAGAGAGGTTCAAGAAGGGAGAGGACCTTAATTAGAATAGCCACTTCCACCTGAACCCAATGACTTCTAAAATTACAAGTCTTTATAATGTGAAATCATTATTTCACTCAAAAATCTCAGGACATTCAGTCCATTTACTTTACAAAGAAACTAAGCGGCACACTCCAGCACACAGTGTCTGCTCTTCTGGGTTATTAATTTGCTGCTTTCTCTGAGCTCTTCCTGCTTTCTCCTTGTATGCCAATAATCAAACTGTTGGCATGCCTAGATGGGTTTGATTCCAGAAACTAATAAGTGTTCTCTAAGAACAAAAAACCCTAAATCAGTGCAGAGGGAAAAATAATTTCACTTTCTATAATATATGGAAAAAGTCCAGCCACGGTTAAAGCCCAGTATTTCCAGTGCCGTGGCCATGCCTGCCTCTTGCAAGGAACACACACTTGCCAGGCCAGCTGCAATTTTTCTTGTGGCCTACACTGGGGGCATGCTGCTGCAGCTCCTACACTTGCAGGTGATCAGAATTTGAGATTGTCCTACTTCAAGGAAGAGGGTCCGGAGCATTGCTGGGGCTTGCTGGCTTCCCACCTACTTCATGTTCAGGGAGAGACCTTGTCTCAAGGGAATCAAAGTTATGGAGCAGGACAGCCATTGCCCTCCTCCGGCCTCTGTGTGTACAGGTACTTTGTACCTACAGACACATTTGTGCATACAACAGAGAGAGAGAGAAAGACAGACAGAGACAGAGAATCAAATCAAGACTTTACACACAGCAAGTTCCTATCATTTTAGCCAACCTTTTAACACTGTTTCTTTCTTTTGCAACATCTCTCTCATGTGCTCAGAATGGCCTTGGTCTTTCTAGGCAGCTGGCCTTGAACTTTTGATCCTTCTGCTCCAGTGTGCTGCTAGCCCTGGTGTGGACTCCCATAAAACCCACCAATCTACCTAGCCAGGGTCAGTCATTCAAAACCAGACGTGATGACACATATTCTCAGCATTAGCAAGGTGAAGGCAGGAGGATTGTAAGCCCAGAATTTGCCTAAATAGTGAGTCTGAACCAGGTTGAGCTGTGTGGAACGCTGTCTCAAAATAAGCAAAATGAGCAAACAAGCAAAAGCCCCAAACTGAAACAAATAAAAAGACCCACCAAGGTCAGCCGCACAGTAGTCAATGAGCCGTTTCGTACGTAAACACGTTGTCTTATGGGAGTTTTATTGCTGGTGTTGCTGTGGTGTTAGATCTTTGAACCCAGGGCCATGAGCTTGCTAACCCGGTGTTTTGCCGCTGAGCCCCCAGCCTGCTTCTGCACTGAAGTTGTCATTAAGCATGCCCTAACTTGTTCAGCCTAAAACCACACGGGAAGGAGAGAACCAGGTCTTGCAAGTTGTCCTCTAATCTTCCCATGCACACCACGGAGTGCACGCGAGATCACACGTGTGCATGCGAAACAAACGGATGAAAGAAACTGAAGAGAACAGCAGCTAACACGGTCTCTGAAGAGGCCCAACTGTAGAGACAGCAGCTGCCAAGCCTTACAACCTGTGTTTAATCCCCAGGACCCACATGGTAGAAGGTGAGATCGGACTCCCAGAAGTTGTCATTCGAACCATGGCATGCATGTGGCCATACACATACACACACATATATGCAAAATACATAAATAAACAACACATGCAATATTAATTGAAAGCAGAACAGCAACAGTCAGGTTTGGTTAATCCCAGAACAACAACAACAAAAATCTACAAACTGTAATCATGGGTTGTTCATATATGAAGCATAAGGACCTCATTCGGTAGTGAGGGCTCAGTTCCTCGGAGTGTACAAGCACACATCTTTTCTTTCTTTTCAAAGATTTATTTAATTTTATGTGTATAATTTTTGCCTCTGTGTATGTCCGCACGCCACATGCATGCCTGGTGCCTGAGAAGATCGGAAAAGCACACCAGATTTCCCGCATCTGGAGTTAGGATGTTTGTAACTCACCATGTGGGTGCTGGGAAGCCAGCTTAGGTTCTCTGCAAGTACTCTAAACCGCTGACCTGTCTCTCCATCTCTGTGAGTTTGAGGACAGCCTGGTCTACAGGCCAAGTTCCAGGATAGCCAGGGCTACACAGAGAAACCCTGTCTCAAACGACAACAAGACATAGGCTCACCATGATGCCTTGGTTGGTCTAGAAAACTCAAGTAAGGCTTCAGTCCCCCAAGAAACCAGGGCTACAAAGTTCATGCATCTCTTGGGAGCCATTTCAAACTTACACAATCACTAAACTACTAAGGAGCTCC